AAGCCCATAAGAAGAGAGGAGGCACGCTTCGGACAGGCCACAGAGAGGCCGCAACAGGCCTGCCGGCTGGCGAGGCCTCGGACAGGCCTTTGGAAGTGCTTGGAAGGGTTCTGCTAGGCTTGGCCAACTGCTTCATCCTGCGCCTTTGGAAGTGCTTGGAAGGGTTCTGCTCGGCTTGGCCAACTGCTTCACCCTGCGGTGTCCCAGGCGCCTCCCCGCCTAGGCTTTGGCTATAGGCCGGGGTCGGCGGATTTAGATGCCCTTTATTTGGGTAGTACGCAGAAACTGGAACTGCAAGAATTGCTTGGTCATCACTTATCCTGCTTGCACATGCTCACACTGGGAACCCTAGACACCCAAACTGTTTGGACATACCAGAAACAGCAGCTGGATTCAACGGAGCTAATGTCTTTGCCTTAGCCGGCAATGCGTAGAAGCTCTCGGGCTCCAACCATATATTCAGGTTCGGTGGTTAGACCCCCTGGCACCCACCCCAACCATCTTCGACACGGAGGTAGGCCAGAAGCCCTAGGGAAGTGAATCCTCCTGCCGCATGCTGCCACATGCTGGGTTACCTGTCATGCCCCCTTACCTCGCAGGGTGCACTTGGTGGGTTCCGATGTTTTTTTTCAATGCCCAAAGACTCGTGTGACTCGTGGAACGCTTTGTTGAGATGAGATGGTCCCTTATACATCCACCCCACAATCTTGAACGCTAGGTCACAGTCGTCATCGTCGTCATCGTGAATCCAGTGCCTTCGTTCAAGCATTCTTTGCTCCCCTGCTATTCGGACCACATGGAACCCCCAAACCACTGGGGCGACTGGGGTTGGTATTCGGAAAATGGTCTTCCTCTGGTCAATTCTTAGGTTCCATGTTAGGTTGCGGGAGGGTATCTTGGGACTGTGCATCGCTGAAAAGAAGGCTTTGTCCATCGCCAGGCCCCTCTGCACGTGACGATCGGCTGATGCTGGAGCCGCCGTTCTTCTGCTGCGTGGCCGTGCGAAGTAGGGGAAGCACCCGGAGGAAGCACCCGGAGCGCCCAGAAGTGAAATCTAAGGTTCATAGCGTTGAGGCAATACACTCTTGAACGCCTTCTGCGGTGAGTTTTATAATCCTCTTCTTTGAAGATGTCAGTGGTCAGTGTACCAAGTCTGGAACGATTGATTAAGAGTTCCATTTTGGCTGCCGCTGGCGGCTGGCGATGGTTTCTTCTCCACACATGACTCGTGACCAGTCCACCTCTAGGAGAGGTCAACTGCCATCGGTCGTTCGAAACAGTGGATTCCTTGGGATCCTCGGATCCATGCCGTTTGCGGCGTTCGTCGAAACCACTGGGTACGCAGCGATCGAGCTCTCGTCCAAAACGGTGCTGGGTGCCGTGCCACCCACGGCACTCACCGTGGCCACTGCGCAGGAGATGGAAGAGTCTGAGGCTGGAGGCAGGCTTTTGGCCGAAGGACGTGACTGGATGGTGAACTGGGCGACTGCGACAAAGGACCAGGGGCCTTCTGAAGGCCCAAGGGGAGATGATGATGTTCTTTTCCAAGAGATTTGCTGCCCATGCTTGTTGAAACATCGATGATTTGATAGGCTTTGATGCTCTAGATGCGATTGAAATCGATTGACGATTGATTTTCTGCACCTTCTGCTCGGGCCGCCTGCCTTAATCCAATACTACTGTGAACTGTGCAAGATGTGAGGGGCAACCCTCTAGACCAGGAGAGCAAACAACACTATGTTCCGGTGACCTTCTTTCTGCAATTATTGCTTCGGACCAACCTCCCAGCTTCCAATCTTCAACCATGACAGTAACTGAAAGCAAACATAGAACGAACACAGAACAAGCATAGAAAAAACAGGCATTCTTTGGAGATTCAATGACACACACACACACACACACACGCACCACACATCCAGTTCCTCCCAGTTCCGAAGATCGAGAGTGAAAAGCCAGGTTTTTCAGCGCTGCAAGGCCGGGAGCGCCTGCTCCGCGGAGCGGTGCTGGGTACGGACTTCCTCCGCCGGGGTCCGGAACATCGGCGAAACCGGCCACCACACGGTGAGTCGGAGTGAGGTGGCCATTGGAACCTGAGTGATTCCTGGCCGGAGTCATATCATGGGCTTTTTCCGATCAAACAGAGGTCATATCACGGGTTCTAGGATGTTCTATGGTATATACAGGACCCCCCCTTAGATGGTGACGGTCGGAGCTGGAAGCAACCTGTCTGTGTTCATTAGACTCACGGTTGTAGAGTTGTAGAAAGATGCACTCAATCCACACTGAGATTCAGATGCTGAAGCTTGAATACATTTCTAGCATTCTCTTTATGATGGGATTGATTGCTGGGAACTGGGTGTTTGGATCTAGACTATTGGAACATGCTACTGCCTGGATCAACCAGTCAGTCATGATGCAATGTTTCATTTTCATCTCTTTTCATAGAGTCGATAGACGAGGTTCCTTGTCTACAGGTGAAGAAAAGGTAACATTCAATCTACAGTGGTTTCAGAGGTTCGATAGCATTTTATAGATGGGGGTCCATAGTAGAACCACCAAACTTTAGGTCTGTGCCATCTACTCTCAATCCGTAGAAGCCGATCGCTTCCTATTCTGTACAATTCCAGCCTGGCCGTACGTGTCATCATCTCTGGTGTCTTCCAGGCTGAGACTCTTCGAGTCCGCGATGGCCATCCGTCGCCTGAGGACGGCGGGCGCGACTGGCGACGGAGCGGATGGATCACATCGAAAAGGTCCATGTATCGTACAGCATCCACAGTACTGGAATCGTTACATTCCCATAGAAAATTGAACCGAAAGAAATGTTGATAACTTTTCAGAACTAATTATTCCATTTGTTTCACTCTGACGAACACATCACATGGTTACATGTTCGTCCAAGGGTAGATAGAGTGTTTAGGACCGGATGATTGAGCTACATTGATCCTTGAAATCCACCCTAAGTGATCGGTTAATAGACCAGTCCCAGACAGGTGGTGATTGGACTTTGAAGCGAATTTCTTCACCTCCCTGGTTGACCAGGAACAGATTAGGAGAACCTTAGCCACAGCCAGGATCCTGAGAATGGTGCCCTACAACATGATGGGTGCCAGTGGAAGTCCTCGCATTTTTTTTCCCAGCAGGTGCTTATGGAAATGGAACTTCCACTACTCCGCTACAGGTAGGACTTCGCGCTCATTTGTCCACTAAACGTGATAAGGCATCAAACAAGGCTATTGATCACCATTGCACGTGTTAGAGTTTAGGCTTTGGCTGACTTACATTTGATGAAGAATATTTTACATGTTGCTTCCACATTGGTCCAAGGCCATCAACCTAGCCATTAATGCTCCAATATTTGGCTGTGAGCCAAAACCTCCCCCACCAAACCACAATTTATGTTGGTCAAACATCAAGAATCCCTATAGAATTGCTTCGTCGAGATCGGAAAGCTCGACATCCAACAATCCCAACCACGACCTGCCTGGGACTGACATTATTGTTTGCCTACATTCATGCTGAACACTGATAAATATGTTGGCGTAAATATTTCATATAGAGCTTCTTTCTGGAGACCATTGCTATATTTTAGGTTAGAGGCCATTGCTATATTAGGTTGGAGGCCATTGCTTCTAGGTAGAGCTTCTTTTAGCTGCTTGTTTGGGCCTTATGACCTCTCCAACGAGCGACCCGTCTTGTTGTTGGGACCTGTACCGGGGCGACACGTCTCCGCATCCTGCCATGCAGGACATGTTTGGTTTCCGTCACAAAGCGGGCGCGACCGCGCAAACGCCACAAAGCGGGCGAGGTGGAAACGAGCAAAAACGGGGCCCGGGCAGGGACGGGTGACGGGTGGTTTTTGATGTTGATGTTGGTTTTGACCCGTGGATGTGGGTTTGGTGCGTGTTTGCGGGTTGGTGGGTAGTGTATACGGCTCAGATCTGTGATTCTTGGGGATCCGGGAAATCCTTGGAAGAGAAGTGAAGACATGGTTTTTGGTGGGTGAGACGGCGGATTTTGGTGAGCGTTTAGGTGTCAGAAAAAGCAGATGAAAGCACACACTGGCTCACTTGAGCACTTCAACAAAAACTTTGTTAGAGGGCTTCAGTGGGTCTACAGTGCGCACACTGTTCATGCCTTCCTCAAACCATGCATGAAACTGGAATTGCTCATGCTTACATGGATCCCCATTCCATGACCCCAGTGTAGACTAGTAGGCCAATCTGGTTTGGGTTCTGTCTCTCGCTTGCGTCTCTACCCGAACAGCCGTGCGACGAGTCGGGTCGGTTTCACCGAACAGCTTGGGCACCGGGAAACGCTGGATGCGATGCGAACGATTCCGCTTCACATACCGTTCCGTAGCTGCGTAGCTTCTGCTTAGTAACCAGGTGAAACGGTGAAATTCATGCCCAAGGAAGCTTCTAGCTATAGCGGTAGCCTCTTGTTACTAGTAGTACCTATTGGAAGGTCCTGGTAGAGTCGCTTTACGTTCCTTTTGACCCAACCATAGGTTGCCACAGATTGACAAACACATTCTGAGAACTCTCCAGCCGATGAAAATGCCAGAGTATTCAGTGAATATGCCCTAGGCTCAAAATTACTTGTGATCATGGGATATCAAAATGTATGTTTGGCAGTTTGGCTCCAAGAACGCCACCAAAAACATCCAAAAACGTGACAAAACCTGACGAACATGGAAAACAGCAATACACTCACCAAATTCCGATCAACTGCAACTCAACCATTTTTGATCGTGGCTCACATCATTGGAACAGCCTCGGCCGACGTAGAGACCTGAGAAGCCACAGGTTGCCTTCGAAGGAACATAGGGGAGGACACGAGCCATCAAAAAAACTCAAGTCCACCGGTGGCTACGCCGTGTTTTGGCGCAGTGTGTTTGTTGCCGTTTATGGTTCTGTCTTGCTGTGTGTAAGTTGCTGATCATGTGGGACAAGTGGGTGCAACACAGTCCTTAAAGGACTTGGTCCGAATGGTATCTGAGCACCTCATGCATCCACAGCTGATCATTCAAATTTAATATAGCTGGTTCTCATGACATTCACTGCTTGTTCCATGGATTTGGGCGGATTTCTCCGTCCTGGCCGCCCTCGATGACGCTGGATCTCACGGTGGCCGCGGAACACACCGCGACGAGTAGCCGAGTGTCAAGGCGGACGACCACGTTGAGCGCCTATGAGTTGCACGAGGCCACTTTGCCGACGCACGCGCACGCTTCGTCGTGTGTTGGCCGTGGCGGCGCACACGACCCGTGTGCCAAATCTCACCCAACCCTCGCCGGGCCCCCAGAACAGGGCCCGGCAATGGCCTGTCGTGGGCGGTCATCTGGGCGGTATATGTGTTTTGTGTCGGGGGAGTGATTTGGAGCGGATGAAAGAAGTGGGGAACAGATGAGGTTGTTGGATTTTGGTATGCATCAAGCTTGCACAAGAAGCGACATGTGGCATTGGAGACGTCCCACAGCGCATTTCTTGGAACAGACGTCCCGCCATGCCAAAACTGTGCCTGGATCTTCATAAAACAATCGGAAATCATCGAGGTGAGATCTTTCTGGATCACAAACCGATGGGAGTCGTTTCTCCATTGTTTGTTCCATGTCCCAGACGCTCCATGTATTGTATGAATATATGCCTACATTAGGGTGGTTTTGGGGGGGTCAATTGATCGGTATATATGGCAGTCCCACTGGGACAGGGAACTGGCGGGCAGGGAACTGGGGGGCAGCAAACTGGGGACAGGGAACTTGGAACAGGGAGTACTCGTCGTGTTTGGGTGTGGTTTGTGTTTTCCCATTGACAGAGACGACCCCCGCAGGAACGACCGCCACGGGACAGTCTTCGCACACGAAATGTTTCAGGCAGTGCCACCTGACCGTTGGTGCGTCACCTCCAAGGAGCTGCTGATCCGGAGCCAAGAGCCGCTGATCGGAACGTAGCTAACGTAGCTAACAATCAGATCTTCGGATATATGATAGAATACCTGGGGGGGCCTCTGCCTGAATCAGGTAGATGACCCCCACATTTGAGGCTACAAGATGGACGCTTAAAGACACATGGTGAAAAAAAGCTGAGCATAAAGACACTTCTTCAAAAGAGGGACCCATTGCTTGGTACCTTGGCTTGGTGGCTAGGCTTGCTGGCGGCCGCGCCGCTCGAGCGCGTCGCCGGAGGTTCTGCTGCGTGACTGCGTGACCCGCAGGACCTGCTCTTCTTGCGACAGGACGTTCAGCTGAGCATTCGCCGATCCGAGATTCGACCGCCTCCGGATGGGCGCGACGAGTTTCAGTCCTTCGATTGTATCTATGGGCCCAGCATTTACACGGTGAATGAGCAGTACATCAAGCCAGTGACCAGCAAGGCAGGCAAGATGAGTTGGGCGCTGATGAAGAATCCAGAGGGTTTCTTGGGAGAAGTTTAAGAAGATTCTTTTGTGATTTGGCCCTGCAACATCCGGTTGATTGATGAACCATTTCATGAACCTGGTTGCCTTGGGTCTGTCACGTCACGTTTGCCAGGTTTGGAGTGCCACTTATTCATCAGCCATGCGTGGCAGGAAGGTGTCTTTGAGTTTCTCACCAAAGTTCGACATTCCTGGCCTCGAGCTGCACTGCATGCTTGGTGTTGCATGTTGGCCAACCCCCAGAACCTCAACATCGTTTCTTGGATTTGCGGATTTGCAGTTCTTGGCGCAGTTTCAGAAGAAAGCAGGTCCCCCTGCCACACTGGGTGACACTGACCTTTCAGTATGGCATATTTGCCTACATCAGGACAAATAAATGCATGGTAAATCTAAATGTAAATCTTCAAGCACGTAAATGCAGCCTTTGGGATTGATTCATGCACATGTTGTGTAGCTGCATTTCTGCATTTGGTGTCAAAAAAGGCACGACCAGTAACGATCAGTAACCACCAAGCAGGATGGCTGTGGGTCACGGGCGAACATCCTGGAACTCGGTAGGTTGAACCCCGGGAGTCGAGTCTGTTCATTTGACCCGTGGTCCACCAGGGTGTCCTAGTTTTGACCCACAACCAAAAACCGCAGAGTGGCGACAGCAACGGGTGAAAACGACCTGCCTTTGCCATGCTGTTGGGATCGTTTCTTGGGGGGGTTCTTAACACCGGGGTGTCCGCAGCCTGACCGCCCCGAGGCGCTCTTCCTCACTTCGCCCAGCACGTCGCCCTTCGCCTTGGCCTTGAAGGCCTCGGAGATGGTCCTGGTGGTGCCCAACCGGCACCAGAGCGTCTACACCCGACTCTGCGACCGAAGCAAACGGTGCGGTGTCGGTGTCGGTGTCGGTGGCGGTGGCGGGTTCGTGGTCCTGGAGGGAG